AGGAAACACTCACATTTAAAACATATAATTAATAAATGGGTGAAAATTGCTTGTGTCCATAATGGGCAGCATTAACATATACCCACATGACAGCTCAGGTCAGAAGAGCTTTATTTAACAGCTGGTCTTATGTCTGTGACCCCTCCTGTTGTTAATTGATAAGCCTGAAACATGCACTTGTCAAGGTTCAGAGGCACATTTTGCAAATATGGCAGTAGCCATCGATCATCTTAAGATAAGATAAGATATACTTTATTGATCCCAAGTTGGGAAATGTTTTTGTTACAGCAGCATACTACTTTGTTCTACTCCACTACAATTCAGAGGTTAACCTGGTATTTTTACTCCACTACATTTATTTTAGTTGCTTTACAGATTCTGATTAATGATGTGAAATATAAACAACTCTTAAATCAGACTTTTGTTACACCTGAGTAAAATTCAGGGGAGGTGATAGTCAAGTGCCAAAATAAACTATGCAATATATTGGACGTTAAGAACTTTGTCAGGCTTAATATGTATCTCTAGATACCCCCAAAGTTTTTTTCTTACTCAAAAGAAGACCTCAACTTAAAGTATTATTTAATGTTTAAATAAAGCCTTATTAGTTTGTCTGTTTGCACATCCTCCTATTAATATCTTTGGACGTCCAGCACTAAACTGTTTTATTGTAGAGATCACTACAGTATCTTTTTGATATTTTCTATTCTATATTTCTATCATTCTACTTTCCCCCTATTTTGTATGTAGGCTACTCTTAATATTTAAATGTCAAATGCCATAATAACTTTGTATTATTAGTGTAGGACACTTATAATGTATAACATCTGAAGATGTGTAGTTGTATTCATGTTTTCACATAATTTTACAGGACATTGCAATATTATTTCACATATTGTAGTTCTACACATTAATATCTGAGGTATATCCGTCATTTAATGGTAAGCTATTGAAATTCATATCACATCATCCATAGATGTGTCTCCCATCACCAAAAACCCCTGACTATTCTCTCAACTCAGTATTTACAAGTCCTTTTCTATAAGCTGTGCACCGTTATGGTGTAAATATAACCTATCTACCAATTGGATCAAATATAAAAGTCAGCTGAATTACTAATAATAGTAATACTATTACTGCAAGGAGACGTATTGTGCGAAGATAAATTGAAGATGTTGTTTAATTGCTGTCATATATTCAGTTTCGGCGGCATTTCTTCCAGTTTGTCCAAAGGTCTTCTAATCAGGGCTCTATAAATAGAGAACTACGGCAGATGTGTATTATGTAATGCAGCCGAACCGTGTATTACAATGCCGTTATGTGATGACTTTCAAAGAAAAAAGCAAGCACACTCAGAATAAAGTATTTTTTTCGGATTTCACATCGCATAAACACCATATCCCAAGGTCCATTGCGTCTAAAACATCCAATCACCGAGCTTCAACGATAGCTGAGGATTATGGGTAGTTCGATGTTTTAGCCTATCAAAACCTCTGAAAAAATAAATGTGTCTCTCAGAATCGAAAGTGAAAAATCTATGGGAAAAACAGAAAAGGATAAACTGATGTGTTTTAGTGGATGAGTACTGCAGATATCACTGTGAAATCATTTGACAGTGAGGGAAATATGTTTTTATTATGAAAACTTCAAGACTGGAAATACAGTTTTCACCAGGTGAGGGTTGACGCTAACTTTACATAGGGGGAAAGACATACACGTTCTCCTGGCGAGACCTCAAATAATCTTCGTAATATCTATCAAACTACTGTATAGATCCTACACATCCACTGGACGTGGATTCTAAAAGTACAGTATACACTTCTCGCTAGAAATCTAATCAAAAAGCATTTTAATGGCCAAACTATTCTACAATTTAGGATTTTCCAGAGAGGGTTATTTGCCGCAAATTGTTGTTTCTTACACAACCACTAGAGGTGCTAAACTTGAAAACGTGACTATAGGTCGTAATAAGCTGTTGAACAATCGACCTATTTGGTCGTATGAGTTGGAGGACTTGTTGACACAAACACACACATTCAATGCAGTGAGTTACCTCGGATTATCTTCTACCACATTCCATCCCTTGATAAGAAAGCTTTTGAAGAGGTAGTGCAAAGCCATGATCATCTGAAGACTCCCATGCCAACTATGATTGTTTGTATGCAGAATAAGCTCTCTGTGTGAATAGGCTGCTTGTGTTACGATTATTGTGTTATGTCACGTTTTGTATGTCTTGTTTTGGGTGTTTTGCTGTTCTCCCTGTCATGTTTTCCTCTTGGTATATTGTCTGGTCCTTTTCCCTGTGTTTTTCCTCCTGTCATTAGTTTCCCTGGTGTGTCTAGTTGTCTGATTGTGTTCACCTGTGGCCCTTGTGTTTCTCCTCCCCTGCCCGGCTGTTTCTCGTCTTGTGATTACCCCTCCCTGTATTTAGTCTTGTCTCTTCCTGTGTTCAGTGTTGGTTCGTCGTTTGTCTGTGTTCACCGGGGAGTGTTCTGATTGTCCGTGTGCCATATCTTTGAAATAAAGGTATTTTCAGTTTTTTCTGCATTTGGGTCCTGCCTGCTTCACTCACCGTAACAGAACGAACCAACCAAAAGATGGACCCAGCAGACAGCCTGTACGAGGTGACGTACAACCTAATGTGCTTTAAAAACGACTGTCGATATGCCTCCAGTAGTGAAGAGAGGCAGTCAATTATCTCAACGGCACGCCAAGAAGTAACCTCAAGGCCCTGGTTAAAGGAGTTACTTCCCGAGTGGGTGGAGGACTTTTTCGGTAGCTTTGAGGTCAAACCTGTTTCCCGGCCTGCTAGCCCCTGGCATGCTAGCCCCCTGCCGGCCACAGTTCCCAACAAGGCTCCTTTCAAGGACCCTTTCGCTGGGTCTCGTCTGGCTTTTGGAGGACCTCTGAGCCTCCAAAAGGCTTCAAGGCAGCATGGAAGGAAACGCAAGGCCAGGATTCCAGCACCGGCAGCCATGGTTCCGGCTCTAGCCCCAACAGCCATGTTTCCGGCTCCAGAACCGGACCTTACAGCCATGTTTCCGGCTCCAGAACCGGACCTTACAGCCATGATTCTGGCTTCAATTCCGGCCCCAGCAGCCATGGTTCCAGACCCAGTTCTGGCCCCAGCGGCCATGGTTCCAGACCCAGCTCTGGCCCCAGCTGCCATAGTCCCATCTCTTGTCCCATCTCTGGTCCCTTCTCTAGTCTTTTCTCGAGTCCTAACTCAACTCCCTTCTCTGGTCCCCTCTCACTTCTCGAGTTCCCCCTCTAGTCCCATCCCAAGTCCCTTCTCTAGTCCCTTCACTAGTCCCTTCTCTAGTCCCTTCACTAGTCCCTCCTCAGGTCACTTCTCTAGTCCCTTCTCTAGTCCCTTCTCTAGTCCCTTCTCCAGTCCCTTCTCCAGTCCCACCTCTAGTCACTTCTCTAGTCACTTCTCAGGTACCAACTCTAGTCCCATCTCAAGTCCCTTCTCTAGTCCCTTCTCTGGTCCCCTCTCTAGTCTCTTCTCGAGTTCCCCCTCTAGTCCCTTCTCTAGTCCCTTCTCTAGTGCCTTCTCTAGTCCCTTCTCTAGTCCCTTCTCTAGTCCCTACTCAATTCCTTTCTCAAGTCCTTTCTCAAGTCTCTCCTCTAGTCTCTCCTATAGTCTCTCCTCTAGTCCCTTCTCTAGTCCTATCTCTAGTCCCATCTCCAGTCCCTCCTTTAGTCACTTCTCTAGTCCCTTCTCAAATCCCAACTCTAGTCCCATCTCAAGTTCCCTCTCGAGTCCCCTCTCCAGTTTCCTCTCAAGTCCCCTCTCGAGTTCCCTCTCAAATCCCCTCTCAAGTCCTCTCTCAAGCCCCCTCTCGAGTTCCCTCTCCAGTCCCAACTCAAGTTCCTACTCAAGTCCCAATTCAAGTCCCTACTGAAGTGCCGTTGGAGGTTCCGCTGGGGGTCCTGCCAACCCTATGTCCAGTCCCGCCGGATGTCCCGCCGACTACTCTCCTGCCGGGGGTCCTGCCAACCCTATGTCCTGTCCCATTGGGGGTCCCGCCGACTACTCTCCTGCCGGGGGTCCTGCCAACCCTATGTCCTGTGCCGATGGAGGTTCCGCTGGTGGTCCTGCCGGCTCCATGTCCAGTCCCGTTGGAGGTCCCGCCGACTGCTCTCCTGCCGGGGGTCCTGCCAATCCTGTGTCCTGGTCCTCTTCCGTGGGGGATCCTGCCGAGGCCTGTCCCACCAGCTCCGGTTCCTGTCCGGCCGACACCGGGTCCTGCCCGGCCTTCGGCGCTGTCCCGTCAGCGCCTTCCTGCCCGGCCTCCGGAGCTGTCTGGTCTTCGCCCTCGAGCCCGGCCCCCTGTGAGCCCGGCCCCCTGTGACCCGCATTCTTCGCCCTCGAGCCCGGCCCCCTGAGGGCCACACCCTTCGCCCTCGAGCCCGGATCCCGGAGTTCGCCCGCGGTGGCCTTCGCCCCTCCATAACCCCCACCTTGGACTCTGTCTTGCCCCCGGGCCGTCCGCCCGAGATCCCTTCCGGGTCCTCCGCTGTGCTCCTGGGTTGTCAGCCTAAACCCGTCCTCCTGACCCCCTCCACCCACCCTGGTGGTCCTGTCGTTAGTTTCCCTGGTGTGTCTAGTTGTCTGATTGTGTTCACCTGTGGCCCTTGTGTGTCTCCTCCCCTGTCCTGCTGTTTCTCGTCTTGTGATTACCCCGCCCTGTATTTAGTCTTGTCTCTTCCTGTGTTCAGTGTTGGTTCGTCGTTTGTCTGTGACTGTGTTCACCGGGGAGTGTTCGGATTGTCCGTGTGCCATATCCTTGAAATAAAGGTATTTTCAGTTTTTTCTGCATTTGGGTCCTGCCTGCTTCACTCACCGTAACAGCTTGATCTTCAACTGAATCTTGATTTGTTTTGTTAAGTCTTCACATCTTATTCATAACCCAAGCTCTTGCTGTTTCCGATAACTTTTAAAATGGTCTCAATAAACTGTTGTGTACAGTGCACTTGAGGTGAATACAACGTACCACTCCTGAGCCACGTTTCATCCAAACAATGGTCAGAGAGGGGTTTCCTGTCCATGCACAGTTAAAAACCGCATCAGATCCCAGGTCCACCTGCAGAGACTGAGGCTCCGCCGCCATCCGGGGCCCAACTGGAAGACATGCAAAAAAAAGATCTGTAATTATTTATAATTAACATTTAGGCAAACGTTACCTCAAGTATTTACAATATACTATATCTTCATAGTCTTCTGTCAACAACTTGTAGGATGGAAGCTTTAACGTGTCATAAGTGAATCCTTGATGAATAGCATCTCTACCAAAATGTTGGTAATAAACATATCAGAGAATCTTTTCTCGTAAATCTGTAAAAGGTTCCGTTAATAACAAAATATGTCTATCTTTGTAATCAAATAACAACATGGTCTGTCTCTTTGTCTGTTTTTTGGACAGATGACAAAAGGTGTGGTTTTATTTTTCTGACATAATGATGTATTGTCTGAACCAAACCACCACCACCAATCCTACAGGTGGCATTGAACAATCTTATTTTGAATTGTACATGAAACCTATGGCTGATAAATATAGCATGTTGACTGAAACACAAGGTATTTTTTCAGTAGGAGAGGTTAACATATGCAGCTTCCAAGCCTCATTTTGATTTATATAGTTAGTACTAACAGAAACACATAGCTACTTATTATGCAGAATGACATAATTGAACTGGCACTGACAGCGACTTCAGAAAATAGTGGTCATGCAAATTAGAAGGATGTTTACTGTTTCCACTGCAATGTGCTTTCCCATATAGGTTTTTGGATGTACATTTCCTAGAACATGCAATGACATTTTATTGAAGTAGAGGGTAGAGTATATATATATATTTTATTATGTTTATCTGTTTAGGTTAAATGCTACAAATAGTACAGTGCACCCACAGTTTATACCCCCTGCATGACTTGTGAGTGGTTTATAAATGTAATGCTTCTTTCAATAATCAGAGGAATTATCAAGTTTCCTTACAAAACATAGCTGGGAAAACAAATCAGTTGTTCATAAATGCATGTTATGACATATATACATATGTGTCATGTATCTCAGCCGGTCTGCACTCACAGTAGACGTCCACGTTCCGGCTGATGTTGGTGTTGCCCAGCGCGTTGGTGACCTCACAGGAAACAGGCTCCGTGAAGAAAGAGTGATCCACAACGACCTCATAGGTGTCACCATGTACGTCTAAAATCCCGTTAATGCCTTTAGCCCATCTGAAATAATCAGAAACAGAGCAGATCAGTGGCTTAATCAAAGGAAACACATGTATATTCATTTAACAAAGTATTTTTCTATAAATATGAATCTGAGGTGGACATTAGGATCTTTGGAGAGTCGGTTTACTAGGAGTCGTTAACATATATAACATATTTGATTAAGACTTTGCTCATATTTCTTTACATTATAATAATAATAACAATAATAATAATAATCATAATAATAATTGTAATTTACCCAAAGCTGAATTCAATTATAAGCTATACAAAACAACCAGTCTTGACTGTGTTCAATTTTGGAGTACAAAAGAAAATTGTAGGTATCACAAAATAAATGACTGCACAAATAAATACAAAAATAAATGAATAAATATGGAAATAAAGAAATACATTCTGGAATAAACTAACAAAAGAATAAATAAATGAAAGAACATAAGCTGACAATAAAAAACAAAACAAAAAACAGTCCTAACCCCAATTTAGTATCATGCATACGTACATTTATCTATAACACATGTATTACAGGTTGTGGTAGTAAAGTGAAGTAAATCCAATCTGCTACCGTGCTGCTAACCTGTTAAGCCCCGAGCCTGTTTTTCAGGTCTCAGGCTTGAAAATGACATTCCCAGAACAAATGACCATATCTTCCCTTCTAAAAGGGTTAAATTAATAATCTTTTTTCTCAAAGCAAGGTTACATCTGTGAGTTGGATGTAGAAGTGTCAGAATAAATATAGATGTTTTTATTTTAAAGTAAATTCAGATTGAACACAGTAAAAAAATGTAAATGATTGTGTCCGTCCAAAATTGTTTTTACTTATAGTGAAAACCACCCTTGAATGATGGGATGGTAGACTAAAAGCTTTAGGAATCCAAACTACAACATATAATAAGTACCCTGTATCAAGATTGATGCAAAACAAGTGAAATGTGACCTTTTTAGAGAGGTTTAGCAAAAAAAAACTTCTGGGGTCATTTGGGTGGATTTTCCATAGCTCTGGCCCCCCTTGGTCGATTTTGATGATTGACATCTCTTTCTAACCGTCAGAGCCAATGGAATTGAGGGGAACTCCCATATACACACACACATTACCAACTAAGGAGTGAGAGTGACGCATAGCCAAAACCGGAAGCTGCGATAACTCTGGTGGCTACCATTAGCGGCTAACTATTACTCTCCGATCTCCTGTAAAAGCTCCGTAAAGGTACGTGTTGTGATGTCTGTGTTTGCTTCCCCTGTCGCGAGTTCGGATCGCTCAGTGATGATACTATACCTAAATAATCTGTGGAACCTCATCCTTAATCGGATATCTTATATGTGCAGCTACGATAAGTAATAAGGGTATCTTTATCTTGAGTTCTGTGCCAAAGTGTATTTTTCGCTCAGGGGTCATTTAGATGCTTCTTATGAGACTTGTTTTGGTAAAAATTGTTTGTATCTTCAGTTAGCTGAGATTCTTCCCGTTAATCTGATATAACACATTAATAGATTCTTAAATATTAAGATGCCGTGAGACACAGTGTCGTGAAAAAAAAAAAAAAAAGACCCGCCGAGGTGGTCTTTGGGGCTTAACAGGAGACCACCTACACGTTCATTGAGGAATACGTACAACTGTGGATTAGAGGTGTTTATTATTACCAAGCATCCACCTTGTTGAAAAAGCATCTCTGAATGAGCCACTTAACCATGGCTGATGTGTAGCTGACCTCAACCTTTGACCTCTATTTAACATAGTAGAATCGTCCTACAGGAAGAAACTCAAGTATTCTTTCGTACAGGAGGAAACATATTGCGTGCCACTTTTCAAATGATGGCTTGGATTACACTTGCCCTTGTGTGCATGTTCATCTGCATTGCATTACTGGCAATTCAACTGCAGCTCACTTCCTGTGCACTCTTCATAACACTATAAGTGATGCATCCATCTAAAGATATATCTAAAGTGAATGACATCTTAAGAAATTGTCAATATAATGGTTGTTGATGGCTTCTCACAAAGAAAAAAGTTTGATCTTAAAAAAATAAAGAAATGTATTGACAGCTGACTCTAGCTGACCTCCTCTCAGTCATCAGAGGGGCAACTGCTTTGTTTCTTTATGCAGGAGGACTGAATCACCCACGTCATTCTGCTGTCAAAATTCAACCTCCACTCCCTTTTCCTTTGCGAAAACTTAACCAGACATTTCGCAGCAGAGCGTCTCAATGTTTGAACGCGCTTTCTGTTCCCTGTCAGTCATCAGTCTGCCATTGCACCGTCCCATGACACATCCAGTGACAAAAATAGAGGTGACCACCTTGTCAGATTACCATATGTGGTTTCTTCAAAGGGATTGAACACACAAGGCTACTGCATGAGTTTGAGCTTATTTGATGTGAGTTGTGTTGGACAATCCAGGTCTGAGATGACACCTCTAGCTGCTTTCCAGACAGATTTGATTATCTTCAGCTCCGTGTTCCACCTGGTGACACCTGCAGGTTTCTGTTTCAGCCTTTATCTACAACTCGTATTGATTTATAGCAGACTGTCAAAAACATGGACTCTTTTCATGGATGAAAGTCAGTCATATCATTGCTGAAATCAGTGGTTTTAGGACCACATGCCTCAATGCTCATTGTCTCTCTATCCTGTTGAGAAACGGAAAATATCAGAGGACAATGACGTTTCGCTTTGCTGCGAATACTGCTTTACAGGGTTAAAAACCCTGTAAAGCAGTATTCATCCACTCCATTCACTACATGGACACAAAAAGCATCAGCTATTTCTAAATTGTAAATACAAGAAAGATTTAACTTTATCTTAAATGTGGGATGTTTTACCTTTCTAGATGTATTGCATTTATGCTGATATACAGCAGGAAAGGAACTGATCTTCAAAGTTTTATTTTGGAAAATGCAAACACTTTGACCCACTATACACATATATCACTTCCGAGGAAATATTAGAGACAGATATCTGAAAACTTGCTCAAGCTTTGCTGCAAATACTGCTGCTTTACAAGGTTTCAGACAGAGAAACCACATTGGTGAAAAGAGGTAGAGGCACAGGCAGTGTGAGAAAAATAAAGAGCTTTTTGAACATTAAAGCATGTCAACATGTCACAGTAGATACACTAAACCAGGGGTCGGCAACAGGCGGACCGCGGTCCGGATCCGGACCCAGACACCGACCTATACGGACCCGGACCTATAATCAATACATTAATAGGGGATTTCAATTTTAACGGGGCAATTCTATTTTAACCGCCGCCGACAGGGGGCGAAAGAGAGGAGTGAGCTATACAGGGAGAGAAACATAGAAGAAGAGATGAGAGCGCGGCAGAGAGAAGCGGAGAGGAAAGTGAGTGAAGAGAAGAGTTAGCGATACAGGGAGAGAAGCGGAGAGGAGAGTGAACAGGAGTGTTAGCGGCAGACAGGGAGAGACAAATAATTACACATGGCGCTCTCCAAGAAGAGGAAAGTGGACAGTGAGAACAGAGCTTTTAACCCTGAGTGGACGGACTCATTCATGTTCATCCTGCACACTGGGAGCACAGAGCCAGTGTGTCTCATTTGTTCAGAGACCGTGGCGCTCATTAAAAGTGCCAAAACGCCACTATGAGACAAAACACAAAGTGTTTGACCAAACATTCCCTCTCAAGTCAGAACTGAGGTCACAACAAATAAATATCGTTCCAGGGCAGGCTAACCAATGAGCACCTGCATGTGTGTATGAGAATGGCCCTGACACCATTTCAGCCCAGATTTAAACTCCTGGCAGGACAAGCTCCAGCTCAATTCTCGCACTGAATTAAAAAAAAGTGAGAGAGGGACTGCAATATAAGAGGGAAAGAAAGAGAAACTTTAAAACTGTTCAATTGTTATGATGTGTAAAGACTGATATTGTTCTATAATCGGCTGAAACTGTTAAGTCATGATGTGAAACGGTTAACAAAGAAAAAGGGACTCTCAAGCTGCTGCTACACTTTATTGTATTTATCTAAAATGAAGCACTTTTAAGATGCACACATTTTCAAAAGCTATTTTATTTATTTTCTCTATTTTATTTTTTAATGCAGCCCGAGAGGAACATTACACATATCCACAGTATTTACTGTATATCTGTATAGTTCAATGTTAATTGACAAAATATATATAAATATTGTTGTTTATGAATTGTACTTTCTTTATTTGGTAGTCAGTTGTTGATTACATGGAGACGTTGATAAAGCTACAGGCTACTTCAATATATATCACACTAATTCATAAAGCAAGTTAGACATTTTGAAGCTCTGGACCTTTGCATGGGGAGATTTTCTCTAACTGGACCTCGTTGAATTTTAGTTGAATACTCCACTAAACACTAACATGAACCTGAACATGAGCATAATATTTCATGTTTAACAAAAATCTTTGATTTCAGGCAGGAACACTTCAACCAGGTGATACATTATTAATATGAATTTTGAATCAAAGAGGGCCTTCAGTAGAGCCTTGGGGGACCCCAGTACAATTTGTTAATTGCTCTACAGATTTTCATATTGCATGATTATCATCAATTCTACTTAATTTGTACTGTCATTAAAATTAGACGAGGGAACAAAATGATTACTTTATTAAATGTTTTAATTTATTAAACATTTAATTACTTTCTTCTATAAAGAAACAGTTTTCAGTTTCTCTTGAGTGATGCCTTCTGGGTTGAAAATAATTTGAGTGCTGGCGATGGTGTGAATGTAGTCTCCTAAATTGGTGTGAAAACAGCGTTTGGACGTTCAGAGAAAATTGCTTTACAAACAGATATATACTGTATTTGTTTACATAAAGTAGTAGCATTCACTTTATTAAGCAAAGTTAATTATTTCTACACTGTAGGTGGCTGTGGCTCATTTCGAAGTGTCTTTGGGCAAGATACTTCATACCAACTTGTTCCCAGAGGCCTGTCTGTGATAATGATGTGTCAGTAAATCGCTTTGGATAACAGCGTCAGCCAATGTAATGTAATGTATATATATTCATTAAAACCCTTTAAATAAGTGTCATGGTCTCCCTATCGAAAGGACTCTATTTAAAAAAGAAGCAGACAAAATCTGGTGATCAGATGTTTCCAAATGTGCAAGGAAAACCATATACTTAGATGAGTATTGAAACAGTACAATTCCTCTAGTATTCCTTATCGTTATAAAAGGGAAACCAGTGATACATGCTGGGGTAGTTCTGCTGTATGATATACAAATATATAGCTTACAATAACTGTCTTCAGAGAGGGGAAGAATAGGCTTTAGGGGAGTGATCCGTTAGCCTGTCCCCCTCCACCCTCTAATAAATGTTATTTATATGAATGAGGAGGATGGATGACTGTCCCATTAACTTATGATACAACCTGAGTCTAAAACTACATTAACCTTTACAGATAATCATCCATCTAAATTCTAAATGGTGGTCAAATACCTTCTTGTGATGATTTATTTCTGACTGATGTTGGTTTCATCTCCATAACAATGTGGAAATAACATCAACATTTACATTTTAAATTGCCTTATGCTTTCCTTTTTAACAATTCCGAGCTAATAATGTAAGCATGGAAAATGGGTCACATTAATCTAATATCTTTGGGGTTTTGGTTGTTTATGTGGGAAATTAATGTTTGAGTGTATCTTAATGCTGTGTCAATGGGTTGTAATGCTCTCTGACACACCTAACTTGTGGCTGCATTACTGGATATGTGTTATTCTACAAATGTGTTTAACAAACTATACTATTTAAAATGTCTTGTCACTTTAGTTCAATTATTACAAAGAAAATGTTTTTTTTTTTCAAGCACTACTTGGTGTCTATTGGACTGTGGACCAGAGGGTGAACCAGGATTCACCATAGAGTCTATGAGGTCCACCAATCAGAGGGCCAGTGCCCCATATGTTGATTTGGAAAATCAAAAAGGTGTCAGTTAAAATGACATGTAATGTCATTTCTAAATTGTTATTACAAGAAGCAGTAACATTTAAACCTAAATCTGTAATTTTCTCACTTTCTATTTTGTGCAGATTTCAGCTGGATACCAGGGCTTTTTACACATTTCCACACACAGATTTATGATCTTGTGTGTGGAAAAAGCGGGCCATCTGAACCGCTCACACAAACACCTCCCAGGAGACTTCAGTGCCAAAACATTCAAACAGGTTTTTGTCCATAGGCAGACAGTGATTTTGTGCCGTTGCGCTCACATCAAACGGATGACAGGCCGAGCTTAACCAGCCCAACTGAGGCTCTCATTAGACTCCGCTAAAAACGACAAATGAAGAAACAAGACATGACAACTCTGCTTCAACGTATGCAGCAGAAGCAGTTGACAGCACTCCCATAGGAACAGGAGCCACTTGATTTGCAAGCGACATCACATTTCCTCTCTTCTTCCGCTCTGTACCCTCCTTTCTCTCTCCCTCCCTTTAGTATTCAATTATTCTGCGTCTCCCTCTTTGCTCGCCATCCTTTGCATTCGTCTTCTGTTTCACTTTCTCTTCCTCCATCCATCTCTTAATTTCTCCTCACTTCCTTTGCAATGTTTTGAAAAACAACAGGCAATAATGAGTCTGCCAGACAGCCAGGGGTGTCGACGTCTGTGTGGGCTTGTTCAGATAGATTGTCACCCCCATGGTCGTGCCCCCCCCCCTCCCTCCTCCTGTCCTTTATCTATCTCTCTGTGGACACGGTGCTGCTCTTGAGTCGCTGTTGTACTTTCATCCAACTCCCACGAGTCTGGGCAAACAAATATGCTTGGAGCAATAATAGAGTGGTGCAGTGATGATGTATTTTTGTTGTTAGCCTCGCAAGTGCTCCGTTAACCAAAATCTAGGGGATTTTATCATTGAGTTTGTTATATTGCATAAAATAAGCTATATGTTGAGCACACATTTATGATTTATGATTGTACTTTTTTGTATATGTTTTGTCCAGAAAGAAGTAAAAGGCGAACAATCGGCTATGAACAAACTACTTGACTGTTGCATGACTTAATGTAATACTGCTTAGCTAAAAGTGGCTAATGCTCTGCATGATGATGTTTAGCAGTCTCATTAGCCACTTGTTAGCAACATCTGTTTTACAGACACAGAGAAGCTTCAGACATTCACTAGTAGGAGGTTTTTTAAATATTATATTTTGTGGAACAAAAGTGAAAATGTTGTTAGCTTGTGTTAACAGAAATGGGAACAGGAAGTGCTCCTTTCCTGGTTTAGGAATCCTTCTACACTATGCACACACCACAGATTGAAGTTAACAAGCACATTTTCTATTTTCAAATCTTGTACACATCCCATGGACAACAATTGACTGTCTGATGATTCACATTATGGTCTCAAACTAAGTATTTATTTCCCTCTGAGTTAAGCTCTTTCAGCCAATCTAGAACAAGAGACAGAGGAAGAAGAGTGGAGACAGAAAAGAAAGATGGAGAGCATCTGGAGCGATTGCGATAAGGAGGAGGAACTAACTTCACTCGTCTCCTACCATCATCCCATCCACCCTCAGCAAGTCTGACTTTCCCCATTTCAGAGACACAATAATATACCTACGGTGATCAATAAAACACTCAATGGAGAGGGCAGCAACGGTCAAAAATTGAATGGTTGCCATGGAAGTCACCCACAATGAGACGCTGACATATAGACTCCATAATATGCAGTAATGTTGTGCACATCAGACTCCAATCCAGTGGGAGCAGAGCGTTGGTCCTGCTGTCTGTATGCTGTACTGAACAGGGATGACTCTGCTTGTTGTTGACAGTTGGGACTCATTGAGCTCTGTTTTCGAGTCAGTGCAGAGCCATGGCAGAAGTGAATCTCAGTAATGCAGCTGAGATGCTTACATCAGCTAATGTGTTCTGCGCCTGCCTCGCTGAAACAGTGTGTCTCTCTCCTGTCATTTCTCACACAACAAACCATTTAACCAATACATAATCCCAGAGTTATGGTATATAGTACCTATTATTGTATTTGTATTTATTATTATTAACAATATTATTCCAATTGTTATTAATATTATTTATTTATTTATTTTCAGCAATTTAGTTATTTCAAATTATTACCATTTATATTAGGATTTTTATTTTTCTCTCTCCTTTACAATGCCAATTAAACCAATAATATAGTCAAACTAAATTGAAACTGGTGAAAATTGAACAGAAATGATAAAACATGATGCCACAATTCAACTTGTTTTCCATATTATTTATATGGATGATTCCTATGTTATATTTCAAAATAAAGAATGGAAAAGTAAGTCTGTGGCACAAACACAACATTCCCTTTTTGCCATGTTAAGTTGCTTTAATAGAGTACCATGATGTCTACCCATCCAAGTCCAACCCCATGCTGTATGACTCTGGACCCCATTGGTATTTTGTGACTCGTCTTACTCTTTTATCCATATATGTGACCCTGCACTTCTTTTCAACTGTCCTGTAATCAATTAATCAATCAATAAAAAGTTAAATATTTGTGGTGATCTAATGTTGGTCTGAACTGTCTCTTACCGACTCTTATAACAATGTAAAGTGTATTGAAAGTGTATAAAGTGGATGTGATACTGTCCATGACTTGAATGCAAGGACTCACTGGTGAATGCAGGGGAACTTCAATTGATTTATACCTTTCCAACTATTAACACAACCTTGTGCAAAGCTTTTAAACATTTGCTTTAGTCAAGTAGTTCACTGTGGTTTGCTCCGCATCAATATAAAAAAATCCCTAGCACACAAGCCTGCTCAGTATATCCTTGCTCTGATAAAGCCAAAAAAGAGTCTCGATTCACAAATTCAGTTCATGAATTCTAAATGAAAGTAAAAGCTGAATTTGAAGGATACAATCTGTTGTAGCGTCTATTCCTTTCTTCCTAACCTGGCTAGAAGACCAGAGAGTCAGGAGAGGACCTTGCAGGACACAAGAAGGGGAATAATAAAATAATGAGTGACAAAAGACCTATTTATGAAAGGATGGGCCTTGCAATAACCTAATAACTGATAATACTCCCACATTCCAAGATAAAGCCTGCAGAGTCACGGCATTGTAAACTGTGGAAAAATAAAAAACACTGACTTTTCAATGTAAAATGGGATCATGCTATCATCTAATCAGCAAATGTATAATAACTGGTAATATCACAACAGCCTGTACCACTGAAACAGAAAGCATCCAAACAAGCTATTAAAGAAGCATTTTAAATCAAAATATGTTCAATACTCCAGGCACAGGTTGTTTTTTTCTCTTGTGCATTTTAGCCTGTGTTTCAGAATGCTTCAGAGCCCTGGTGGCAGGACTGAATCTCAGTGTGCATGTCTTGTAGCTGACCCCTCCTCTCAGAGTTCATGCAGTGATGGAGAGATGGCCGGCCCAGCCCTGACACACTGACAGTTGTCAGAGATGTGGCAGCTTCTCAGGGCTGCCTGCACATATATAATCACAAAGGTGCCTTCTGCTGGGGGGGGCGGGGAGGGGTTATGAGTGCAGATGAGCCAGTGGTACGGTAAGGTACATTATTTTAGACAGCTTTCAGTCAGTGACTGCCCAGCATGACACAGACATTTTGGTATTTCTACATGGTGAACGATCCTAAAAAATGATTATGATATCCAAATATAAAACTAGATAATGGATGCCGATGTTATCAGACATAATGGTTCTAAAAAAAGAGGATCATATGCTGTGTTTTTACCACAGATACTTTGTGCACAGCATTTTAGTTCAATTTCCTCTTAAAATATAACATTCATTTTAATTGAGACTATATACAGTAATTGGTTTAATTTGTAGCATTGTATGTTATGCAACATTTTAAATCCCCTATATGGGTCAGTGTTGACTTGAGTTACACTGTGATTTCCTGTGTACGAAGGCACGCAGCAGGCAGAGGTAAAACAGTGCACGGAAGAAATCATAGTGTTAGTTATGCTGGAGCTCACCTGTAGTAGAGGACAGGTGGGTTGGCTTTGGCGGCACAGTGGAATTTGATCAGATTTCCCTCCAAAACGGGCTGTGGATCCACGGTGAGGTTTACGATCGGAAGGTCTGAGAGAGAGGAGAGATTATGAGTGGATGAAGAACAAATAATTATAGAATGGTGCAGTAATGACATATTTTGAAGGCAGGCGCAGAAGTTAGCATCCCTCTACTAAAATCAATGGATTCTTCCAATGACATGTGGCAAACACACATTTATGATACTTACAGGTTCAGGAAAATCATTTCCACATATCAATACTTGTGATTTCTTTAGCCAGGAGTAAAAAGGTAACGTTTGGCTTTATAGGAATTTCATCACAGTCACATGGCTGTGCATAACCACCGCTAAGCTAAGCTAAAGGCTAATGTTCAGTGTGATGATGTTTTGTAATCTCATTTAGTTGCTATTTTTTTTAAATCACAAAGAAGCTTCAGATATTCACCAGTGACGTATTTACCAAGCGGCAAACTCTTGGGCAGAGCCGGGAGGCCAATAAGGAAGTGCCTCAAACTGCAGTTCATCTAGTGGCCAGTAGGAGCAGTCTGCAGAAGGGAGCAATTTCCATAGACACCCATGTTAAAATGACCTGCTGAGCATGTTAGCTTAGCTTGGTAGCCTCAGCTAGCTCTGGAACTTCCAGCTCGGTGGCAGGAGGTCCCACCTCGGCTCCACCTCTTTGCCCTTATTTGGAGCAGGCGGGAGTCAGACTCTGCCTCCCTGGATATCTTCAAATCATCACTAAAAACACACCTGTTCACCCTGGCCTTCGGGCCCTAGCCCTTTTCTGGTCTCCCGGCTTCCTTTATTTATTTCTTTAGTTTGCCCGTTGATTGTCTGTTTGTTTTGTTTGTCCACCATGTACAGCGACCTTGGGTCCCTTGAAAGGCGCTATATAAATATCATTTATTATTATTATTATTATTACTTTAGGCTTCTCTGCAACTCTGCAGAATCCTATGGGTGACGTGACGTCACGGACACTACGTCCATTTATATATACAGTCTATGGTATTTACTGACATATTTCATTTATTTTAGGAACAAAACGTAATGTCTTATCTCTGTGACCTTATAGGCAACTTAAAGGTCACCTATCATGCTATTTTTAGGCAATAGCATAGGTCTCAGATATATATAAATATATAAAAAACAGATCACCCATTCTAGCCATGCCTCATATCCCTCCGTTTCAGCCCTGTTACTAAAGTGCTGATTCGGGGTATAAAGCTTTAAAAAAAAAAAAGAGGGAGAGGGGGCGGAGCCTATGCCTGCTCATGCGGACCCAGCAGATACTGTCTAAATGCTGCGGTGATGAAACGCCATATCATGTTCAAAACCACATCAAGGATTATATTCAACAGTATGGAGCTCAAATGCTTTTTCTCTTGCGGGTTTACCACAAGGTGAGTTCCTTTTTACATCCGGCTTCTTTACACATACTCTCTCCAGTACAGGTTAGCTCTGAGTGTTAGCGATGCTTGCTAATGTAAATAAAGGCCATATTACTTCCAAAACACGTTGCGAATTTTTTCTGATAGCAACGTTTCTGATAGGGCCGTGTCATCCGATATGACAATTACGTCATATCGGATGGCAAATCTGGATCAGCTTGTTGTAGCCCTGTTTTTAGAGATTTGCGCACGGAGGAAAAGAGAGAGGGTTTTATTTTCTGACACTTTGTGAGTTCCGGGGACACATATTTATGTATAACAGACATACAAATGTGCATTTTGCATGAGAGGTCCCCTTTAACATGTTCAAAACATTGTTGAGGGAACCAGAAGTGGTAAAATGCTAACTCATTTGCGAGGTTTGGGACACATTTTTGCATTATTCTATACAGGAGCTTGATCACTGATTGTCTGTAGTTACACATTGTAAGAGTAGCAACATTTCTAAAGTCCACGAACACTTGATCCTCTATCTTCTCAGCTGTGATTGCCGTTAGCCTGTTTTCTTTACCATAGCAAACATCATGCTCTGAATGATAGAGCTATGCTGGTATTCAAAGAGATCAGCTTGGAGCAGTTCCACCACACATGTGTCACCCAGGAGGAAACGGATGTTCCCATGTGGGAGGTGCACAATCACCATGAGCAAATCTGTAATCCATTTCAAATTAAATTAGCTGGAGATGTAGCAAACGCTTTGAGGATTTTAGGAAATCACCCAAACATTGTGGCATCCAGCCGCCTTGGCATCTCTTAAACACAAGACACCGAGGTAATCCAGCCTTCAAACATCATGGCTCACACCGACAGCTCTCTGTTGGCTAACAACCATTCACACCACAGCAATATGAGATGCTAGGTCAACTTATTTATCTTGTCCTACAAATGGTGCATGCACAGCCGCATCAATGTGTTATTGGCTTAAAGTATTTTCCATGCAAACTTGCTTGGATCCTGCCATCAAAAGCTTTTTCTTCATTGAGACATGTTACAAAATAAAAGTAAAGCTGAGAAAATATCAGTTAGCAGTGTGTTACAATGCAACATCGTGCCATATTTACATCACCACTGCCATATTAGTTAAGTTGCCAGCAACCAGTATGTTGGCCAATTTGCACAATTAGTGTAAGTTGCATTATTTACCATTTATTAGCATAGAAAATAGTAAAAAAATGGCCTGGCCAATTTTTGATAATTTTGCTGTTTTTCTAAGGTGTATTGCGAATATTTTTAGGATACAAAATTGTGGTTTTGGGTCTTGTAAAACTTCAATACCAAAGTTCATACAAATGTCTCATCATCATTTTTGATCCCGAACATTTAAAAAATGTATTCCGCATACTAAATAACCTCCAAAACCACTCTAAAATTGTCAAAATCTGCTAGACCATTTTTTGTACTATTGCCTGAATATGCTAATGAATGCTAATGAATGCCACTCATGTGCAAACTGCCCAACATATGCAAGTTAACATACTATGCATTTCTAACATAAAACGTTGGGGTACTCAACATTTACGTGTTCACTATAGAGCTGGCAAATACACTTTATTAACATTATATTTAGTTCTATTAGTTATTTAATATTGCATTAGTGATGAAATGTCAATAGAAGGAATATTCACCATGCGAGTCATATGTCTTCCTCCTTTGGAAACTCCAAAGCAAAACAACTAGCAGAACTTTGCGAGTTTCTCTTTCACAAAGTTAATGACATGTTATTGCATTTAATGTATTACATTAATAAGTCACAATCAACCAGATAAATATTAAATGAATTGAGGAAATGCCTCACTTAACTAAATGAATAAAGAAAATCAATGAATGAATAAGTATTGCATTGGTTATTTATGGTACAAAGAAGGCTTTAATTACAAATGTTTACCTTTTTATTAATTAACATTGCTTCATTTTAATTATTTCCCTACATTAATAATGATTCCTGTTAACGTTTTGCCACTCGGCTGTTTTATTTATTACACCGCAGTGACTACAGAGGACTGTCAGTCAGGAAGAAGAAGGCGGGCCTAGCCACTTGATTGGATAATCTTTAAAAATCAGTATGCCTTACTCTAATATAATTTTTCTCATGAAGTAAAGGCTTTAAAAATGACATCCTTGTAATATTTTAGATACGTTTCAAGGACATGCACCATGAATGCATCTGAGCTAAAAGGTCTGTGATTGATGCAGAGGGAAAAAAACAAGCAAGTTTAAAAATAAAATAAAATTGTCAACTTTGAAATTGGTCGGCTCACTGTGAGGATAAAGGAAACACACCGCTCTAATAAAGTACTTAATTTATGTTCACTAGATTTACTAAGTTAAGTTGAAATTGAGTTTTAAAGTACCATATACATTTAATTAGGCATGGATGTATTCCTTTTCATACCATATATTGTAATTGCCTATTTCTTAATAAATAAAAAACACATATTTTTAATGTTTTAATTTCTTATAAATTATCATATCATTTACAGAAGAATTTCTAATCATTAGTCAAATTCTAATTCTATACATGTTGTGTCTCGTCAAATGTGTTTTGTCTGTCATTTCCTGTTTTATTTTGTACTTACCTCTTGTCTTTCATTTCAGGCCCTGTTTCTTCCTCCCCTTGTGTATTTTTCCCGCCATCATCAGTGTCTGCCCCGCGCCTGATTGTTTCCACCTGTCCCCACTCCCCTCATGTTTAAATAGTCCTGTCTCTCCCCTGTCCTGTGTCAGTTTGTCTTGTTTGTTTCTCCGTGCCAAGCCTCAGCTCAGAAAGGATCGCTTTCACTTTTGTAGGCTTAAGTTTTTCATAAGTTCTCTTTTTGTTATGCCTAGTTTTTCCTCCTTGTGAGCACCTTTTGTTATCTCCAGTACCTACTCTGTTAAGAGGGATTACCTGATCTGTGAAATTAAAATTACATTTTTTTACATTCAAGACTGTCTCTGGATCGTGCATTTGGGTTCATCAGTTTGTGTGGAGATCCTGACAAGGCAGCTGCGTTTATTGTGAAATGTCCTTTGTATGCACGTATTGTTGTACTGTGTGTTAACATCAATAATGTAACATTATCTGCTCCATTTTCTCCATAGTTTGTATTCCTCCTGGTGCAAATAAAAAGACACAAAATGCAGGACTGTCAACTAGCTTGGTTTTTCTTTTCTATTATAAAGAAATTGCATTTTGTTCTGCAACCCTGTGTTGTACAAAGACAATAACCTTGACACGATAAATAAACCCTTGAAGTGTTTCTTGTTTCTCTTTTACTAGTCCAGTACAAAAGCCAGTCATTGCTGTATTTAATGTTGTTTCTCCTTTCTAGGACAGCCACAGTGAAGGTAGCAGAGAAATGTATACAGGACGGAGGAGATTTTGGACCTCCATGCAGCCAGCTCTCAAGCTCAATATCTACCAGCCTTGTTTTATACCAAACATAACAAAACTAAGCCTTTCAATGAAAAATCCACAGCCTTATTTCCACACACAAAAACTGGGAATCTATTATGTCAAAGTCTGGGAAAAAATAACCTTCCACTGATTGAAATGCACTTTTCAGCACACAGAAACGGATTCAGGCAGAAAGCTTCCGCTCCGGGAAAAACATCGTGTTCCAAGCACCGATACA